CCCCCAGCAGACCAGGGAGATGCGGAGCAGCTTTTCTCAGCAGACACCTCAGTTTGAGAATAATACCCTGAGGGAAGTGAGGTGTGGGAGAATAAAACTGAGCTCTGGAGAAATGTTTGGCTAGAGTTTCCCCTACAATATGTACCAGTTCCGACTTACATACAAATTCAACTTAAGAACAAACCTACAGTCCCTATCTTGTACGTAACCCGGGGACTGCCTGTATAGTCAAGCTATGTTACCGAGCTCTGTACCAACCAGTAAGTTTTATAAACCAGCATTTATGATCTTCATTGAAAGTCCAGTTGGTGCAAGCCTAGCAAGCTCTCTACCTGGCTCAATGTGGCTCCCCAGAAGTGATATGTACCTGCTACTCTTAGGCAGAGGAGTGACCACAGAGGCTCCATGCTTTGCGCCCTCGCCCCCCAAGTGCTGGCTCTGCAGTTCCCATTGGCTGGGGCACATAATCAAAAGGAGTTAGATGAGCTGGGGTGCCTGCAGGTGGAGGCAGTGCACAGAGCTGCCTAGCCACACTTTTGCTTAGGAGCAGCTGAAACAGATTTGTGGGGAGATGCTCAAGGTGAGCACCACCTGAATCGAGCATCCTGAAATCCCTTTCAAGCCTTCTCTCACACCCAAACTCCCTCCCACGCCTGAACCGTGCACCTCCTCCTGCACTCTAAACCCCTAGGTGCCAGCATGGAGCTCCTTCTGCACCCCAAACTAGGGATGTAATAGTGTAGTCAATTAATTGATTAACCGATAAGCCAAAGCTTATAGGTTAATACTGTAGACTACACACATTCCCCCTGCTCCCTGTCACCAGTAAATTTTTTTTAACAGGCTGGCCAGCAGCCCAGCTCAGTCCTGGCTCGCACCAGGTCCAGGACCTACCTCCCCACTGCGGCTCTGCATTTAAAGTGTATTGGGAGCCTGGTGAGCAGGCAGCCCAGCTCAGTTCTGGCTTGCACCTGGTCCGAGAGCTCAGACTTGCTCCACCAGACAGTAGAGGCTGCTGCCACCCTGCATTGCTGCCTCTATCAGAAGCAACAGCACAGAGCGACAGGCAACTGGTCTGCGATGGGAGCTGGTTTTTAAACTGGCTCCCTGCTCTGACCAGCACTTGCCTGGAACCCCAATCAGGGGGATCCTCAGGAGTGGGGTTGGAGTGTACTAGCTACTGGTGTCTTCCCCCCCCTTTTCCTCCTCCCTCCCCCCCCTCCCCCGGGACTGTAGAATAGTCGGGTAACCAATAAGAATTTATGAAGTTCATCAACTATTCAATTAACTGATATTTAACATCGCTACCCCAAACCTATCCTCCCCGGCCCCATCAGGGAGCCTTCACACTCTCCTGCACCCAACTCGCTGCCCTAGTCTGGATCCTCCTCCTGCACCATCAACCCCACATTTCTGGCCTCAGCCCAAAGTCTGTACCCCTTAGCCCAGAGCCCCCTCCCATACTTCAAACTTTTTGTTAACAACATAGGTAACTAATCAGCATCCCCCATTCCTCCAGCATGCTGGATAACAAAGCTTTTACCGAATAAATAAAGTTGATATTACTTCTATAGGGCTGCTTTGTAACACAAAAATGTACTAACTTGGTGGAGAGTGCTTCTGTGTGAACTAAGTTAGTATGATGGCTCTTGAAATTTAAATATTTGATTGTACTGTTGCAGTGCCGGGAGAAAAACAGCAAAAGCTTTGAGAGCTTGGATAATAGCCACTGAGGGCAAGCTTTTTTCTTGATGGCTTCTCTTTGCACTTTTAATAATTAGTTTTGGTCACAAATTCTTCTGCATCTAGAATTTTTTTTTCACTCTGTTGAGCTAATGCCATCTCCAGTTAGTTATCAGGTAACAACGAATGGATGAGAAATTAACAGCATTTAGTAACTAAACCACTAGGTGTCTCTCCTGCAATGGTTTAACCATTGAGCTTGCATAAATAAATTAATTAATGAATGCTAGCATAATTTCTTATTTTGAAAGAAAAGCACTTTTTCTCATTGATGAAGAAAACTTATTCTTATCCTTCTGTGTTACTTACTTAAAAATATCAAGTCTAACTTGGAGGGAAGATACCCAGGAGGGGTGAAAGGAAAGGAAATGAAATACAAGGTTTTCCCCATTAAAATATCTTGTGAATTCCGAGGAAGCCAGGAATCTTCATCAGTGTAAAAACAGACTACACGGCAACCCCCAAATACGACACATTTTTGCATCAGTAGCTAAGAGTTGGGCGACAGCGCAACAACAAAAATGTTTGCACTGATAAGTCTTGTGTACAAGACAGCCACACATCATTGTTCTCTATAAGTTGTGTGCTTGCGTGGCCACTCAGGAGAATTCAAATGCTGCTCAGCCGATTAGCAGTCAGAGCACCCACAGCTTTTGTTTTTATTGGTGGTACACACAAAAATGTGTTCTGAACATGGATGGAAAAAATTGGAGGGAACATTGCCACACAGACTAACACGGCTACATTTCTGTCACTATTTTACATGGTGTGGCTTTCAAACCAGTGATTTATAACCTTTTTTATAACATGAACCAGCAAACCCATTCACAAACTTTTGGTGCACTGGTAACATTTCATTTGCATATTCATTATGCAGATTAATTGTTACTGGTCTGCCAAGGGGCTGGTGCAAATAGCTGGCTTCAGCTGTAGCAGCTACCTTCTACACAATAGCTGCTGGAGCTGAAGCTGACTGCTGTGCGGCAGCTCGCGGAGCCTGTGTGTACCCCACCCCAGAGCTGCTGCGAACAGCTGGTTTCAGCTTCAGCACCTGCCATGGCCCAGCAGCCAGCAGTTCGTGGCCCAGCACTAGTCCACAGACCAGCAGTTGGGAACCACTGTTTCAAACTCTTCTGTTTACAAAAGTACTTTCACATGTGGAAATACATGGCTGAGCAGTGAGAATGAATTAATCTGGGCATTGAATTACATAAGCCTTTATACATTTATAGTTACTTTTTTTTTAACAGGAACCCATTTTAAGATCTGGTAGGATTGGTATGTTATTTGTAGGTAAATAGTTAAGCATGAAACTATTTCAGGAACTTCCGGAATGAAATAAGACAATGACTTCTTCTGTCATGGTAGAAAACAATTTTTGTTTTAAAATATGAATATTTCACAGACCATTTCTGGTTCCAGCAAATGGCACAGAAATATCGTCTATTTAAGAGAGTAACCACTTGCTTTCCACAAATAATTTTGCAGGCTTTGAGGATGATAAGTTTTGAGACTGAGGCTGAGTGTGAAAGGGAGGTGTTACATGCATATTTTACATGATAAGGTGAAGTTT